AATAATCGATCTAATCGATTTTATCGTATAGACGCATTTAATCTATTTTGAATTTGAAAGCCTTTCTTAAATAATAAACGTAAATAAACGAAGACCGATATATTATTTCGTTTCATTTTATGATCATAGGCTACACATTCAATATGAGCGCCCGAAGATTCCAAATATCGGTAAGACCGATGAAACCGAGATTTTCGTCCATCATATTAAAGTCTTGTTTGTGGATTAAGATTATATCTACTCCTATTCTTCATATTCCTACTCCTCTTACGTACTCCTGATACTTCTACTCCTATTCCTGCTCCGACTCCTCCTCCTACACCTCCTCCGCCTTCTACTCCTCCTCCTCCAAAGGTAGTTGCCTGGAAATCAGAGGGAGGGAGGGGGGTTTGTTTTCAAAGAAATCCCAAGTTTTCGCAAGATCCCACCTTCACTACTGACGCAGATAGAAACGAAAGACTAACTACGTTGATTTTCGTGATTTATGAATGAAGACTAAGTCTACTGAATTCATCGACTCAATGGAGGCCCCATTCGCGAACAATCGTAGTATTCGTGCATCGCCACGTCGCCGAGCTCGGCGTCATGTTCACCACGTATCATAACGCGGCCGGGACAAGCGGCCGCGGCAGCCGGCTACCCATAGACGACGAAGACCGCCAGGTCCTATACATAGCGATTCCGCTCAAGAGCGGAAGCCCTCGCCCCACCGGGTCGGCGTTAGAGTACTGAACCCGGGCCGGGAAACGAACCCTCGGCTCAAGCGCCTACTAAGCCGGTGTTAGCGCCGACGAGGGCGCTCTGCCGGCAGCGGCCGACTAGGCCCGCGCCTGCACATCCTCTCGCATCTCGTCAGCAATCTTCTCTTGGAGCGTCATGTGCTCATCTTAGCGCCGCCGGTCCTCGAGGTGGCCGTCCCAATCACCGCCGCGAGAAAATGTAGTGTCAACGTCTGTCGCCTTTTCGGCGGGGGCGACGGAAACGACGCCAAGCCGGGGAGGGCCCTACGATCCCGCGCCGCATAGTACGCCTCCGCTGGCCGAGGCATGCAAACCTCTCGGCCGCCTCGTTTGCGTCGTCTTGCGACGCGAAACCCGTCTGATTCCAGATCGACGGGGGGGGGGGACTTCCCGAGCCCCTGGATCACAGGCACGCCAGCAACGCCGGCAGAAGCCGTCCAGGGGCCATCAGCATCAGCTGGCGGCTCAGGAGCCGGCTGCGTCGAGGTCATCGAAAGTGTCGAGGAGATCGGAGGATCGGCGACGACGTTCCTCGACTGGCGCCTGCTGGCTGCTGCCGACGCCTGGGCGTCGCTGTAGCTTTGCACAGCCGTCTGGGTAGCCATCGCCAGCGAACGACGCTGCAATGGGGTCCACCCGCCCATGTGAATGTCGACGCCGATGTCGTGGTCCAGCGCCGCCTGGATCGTCGCAAAGGCGGCCGCGATCTGGGTCGACGTCGGCACGCCTGCGGAAGACGACATGGCATCGAGATGGGTTAAGAAAGACAGCTGAACATCGTAGATGCTGCGGAATGCGCGTCGTACGACGTGATTGTCCCTGCGCACATGAATGTGCTACACAACAATTCCCTCTCCACTCCATCTCCCTGGCCGAGGTACTCTGGATTGGTATGACAGTGCTCTGCTGAATAATTCATCTTCATCTTGTTCCTACATGGTAAAGATCAGCCGGCGCGCGTTATGTCTTTTTGCCGCACGTCAACATCTTGGCTTAGGTCGGCCAGCATTGCAGCGTCTCGACCTGAGCAACGAGATCGATTGCCTAGTCAGCAAGATCTTCTTGCTGCTGCATGTCCACTGAGCAACAAACTCCAAGACAAGAAGAAGGCGTCCTGATGCAGCAAGTAGCTTTGAAGCTGACACATTGCATGGATGCGGCCACGTGAAGAAGTCTCAGCGACAAGCCATGTAGGAGAGCAGCTGGAAACGATCTGTCAATATTCGCCTCAACTTGCACATCATGGCTAGACACAGGGCGACTACAGCTTAGGCGATGACACAATGGTTGAGTTCGACGATATTGCAAACCTTCCGCAGGAAGCGAGGATGACCAACAGTCACTGCAGGAAGTAGGAGCATCCCTGCTGACTTGGGCATCTCTCACCAGTCCAACTTGGATTCAGTAAACGATATATTCCCTTGAGGCCTCATCAGCAGATGATAGCATGGAGGGACAAACCTGGCCGTAGTCAAAACATGCATCGGGGTTCAGAGCTTAGGGCTTAGAGTTTAGGGCATCTTGGCACGCATACTTTTGTTGCGATTGGTGCGGGTCAGCAGACACGTTGTACATGTCTTTGAGCTTCACATCACAAGTGCTGTGGAAATTCCCAACCAGAGAATCAAGAATGCATTTCAACTTGATTGTCATATCGGAGTTTCCGAGAATTGGGGGACCCTGTCTAGTACCCTTTATCGTAGGCTTTTTATCATAAGGACCCCACAATAAGGTACCTAATTTTTCGAAATTCCCATATTTGGTTAAAGGATCGGCCGTCCAAGTATCTGCACTTCAGGAACTGGACATGCACACGTTTGCATCTCCACATTAATCAAGTTGGTACTTACTCGCCAGTTTGGCTCTACCTCTCCGTGCCTTTGCTCTTCGTGCATTCCTTCGCTGTGCCATCGCCAGTTTGGCTTTGCCTCTCCGTGCCTTTGCTCTTCTGTCGCCGCGCCAGAACATCGTTTGTTTGGATGTCCGTCTGTTGAAAACGCAGTTCATGGACTGCACATGGATGTCAGTTGCTGCATACAACAAACGAGGTCCGTGGCCAAGCAAATCTTCGCTCAATCTACTTATGAAAACACATGTCCACAGCCGTCTAAACCCTGTCATCGACGGCTGTCACACAGCTAGTTCATGCGGAAGTCTGCAAGGAGGGTCGCACAGCAACTGTCGCATCAAACGAAAACATATCATGTCTCTCTCGACCGTTATCTTACGCCTACGAGGCTACAGCACGGACAACTTGTCCGACTGTTAGAGCTGTTCCATGTGCATTCCACATGGAGACAACAAGTGTGTCTCGCGGCATCAGGATGATGCAAGCCGCATTTGTTCTGCTTCGAAAACCAAACGTACTCAATGATGATCCAAAGTTGGCAGCTGCTGGTGCTCACCGGTGGCGACATATTCTCACTGTTCGATGGAAGAACTGAATCGCCGGCAGGCAGGCCGGCATGGCAACTTGAGCAATGTTGGTCAGCTCTGCAGTGGGAAAGCACTTCTGAAGTGTGACCCCCAACCCTCCCAATCAGGACGTGAGTCGCAGGATAGCAAAGGTAGTGTCCACATTGACGGTCACATCTTGCTCCTGTCCCGCAGGGGCCTAGCCTGCACACTTGGAAGACTCGCATCTTTGCAGTCCTGCTCTGGCAGGTCCATTACGCCTTCGGGCAAGCTGTTCCATCTGTCGAAGTACCTCAGCGGGATCAAAGTCGCGAGGCGTCTGCGCGTCCACTGCCGAGAGCGATGCTCTTCTTGTTCGAAATCGAAATCTTCATCTTCAACATGAACCTGCAAACAAGGGAAATGGCCATTGCCCGAAGACCCGTTCATGCGACGATGGTGCGCTTCCGCGTGGCGTGGGTGGGCAAACTGTCATTGTTGGTTCAACCCATGACCCACACTGGTAGCTTCCCAGAGAGCCCAATACCCCTTTTATTAAGGAATATACCTGAAATTCTAAGGGGATTCATATTGTGATTTAAGCTATATTCGTTAATTAAGGGGTACTGGGCTCTCTGGGTTCCAATCAGAATACTCCCAGGCTTCAACTTGTGCTTGGAATTTCTTCATGATCCTATCGTGCACCCGCTTTCTCGCACCCCACTCTACGGATGTCTTGAATGTGTCCTCAACTTGTCGGTGCTATGCAGCCAAAGAACTCTCTTTTGGCTGGTTGCTGTGGCGCTACCCTTGCTTCGCGCGCTAACTGGAGGATGTCGGGAGGATTTTCCTCTTCTCCCTGGCTGGTCTATTTCTACCTCGTCTTCCAGTGCTGCACCCGTGGAATTGGAAGGAATCTATAAGACAGTGTCCTGTGCAGCACTTCTGAATTGATGTGCCTACCCCGCACAAGGCCCATCATGGGCTTGGGCAAGGAGCAGCCTTCTGTTGCTAGTTTCGCAGTTCGATGGAGTGGCCACTGGGCCGCAGGGCCCTGCAACTGCGTGGCCTCCACTTCCAATTCCCACGCTTCCAAAGAGCCGTGCCTCTGCCGGGACGACGAAGGGTCCAAGCTGCGTCTGAATCAGCTCCTGAGTTGGCCCCCAGCTGCGATGTAAGTTTAAGGCTTTTCATGGACAGTCTGGCCTTCAAGGTGTCCCTTTCCAAGTCCAGGACCTCAGCTTGCCATGACGAGCTGACATGAAACAAGGAACACACAGCCGACGGCCTTCACTGACCAGGATGGCCTTTCAGACGCTCTGCGCAGGCTTGCATAGGCTTCCCATGCGCTACAAGTGGTGACAAACGTGCCGGAGCCGCTCGGCGAGACTTGCCCAGAGGTTCTCGAACAAAGGAGCCCTGTCAGGAGGCCGTACTAATAGCACAGGCTCTCTCAACCCTAAACTCTAAAACCCTAAAACCTAAACCGCCACACCCTTGCAAACCTGAGGACCCGACCAAAACACGAGAGGAAGGCGCACCGGAAGAAAGAGGTCCTGCAGGTCAGAGCGATCCGGCAGTTGAGAGCAAGAAACAAGCGAGCAACAGGCCCCTCTAGCCAACTGCACATTAAAAGACCCTAGTAGCCCCTTCACTATACTATACTACATAATATTATACTATACTAAACGATATAAAATTATACTATACCAGTAGCTTTCAAGTTTACAACAAGCCCATGGCAAGAATCTGCCCCACGTTTTCGCAAGAATATCCCTTCACCCGTCTCGGTTTTGAGACAGATTAGGCCCAGGCATAAGCGAGTGAACGGCGCCATTAGAGCGCTTTCACCCTGGGCCGGCAACACTAACAGCCTTTCGGGCACAACATCTCAGAGCCCTGGCCAGCCAGTGAGTCCCGCATCCCGCGCCGAGCCCGCCGTTTCAGGGCCTGGGCTTCCTGGCTTCGAGCCTTGGACTTCGTGAAGACCTCCCGAGACTGCTCGATCTCCTTGACCTGCTTGGCTGGGAGCAGATCCAGCCATTGCAGCTGAAGCTTCTGAAGCTCATTCTGCTGATCCTGAAGCTCTCGCAACCTCTCCTCCTGCTCCTGCTGCTGTGCAGCTGCTGCTTGGGCTTCCTCCTGGTCCTTTCGCGCAAGATCGGCGAAGTAGGCGGAGCTTGGAACCTTGGAGAGCGAGTCCTGCGCACTTCCCAGAAGCTCAACCAGAAGGTCTTCAGCAACTCGAGAAGCCGAAGATTCGTTTTCTGCGGCGTTCATTGAGGCAGCCAGTGCTTCGACCACGTCTTCTGCAGGTTGCCGTCTCAGAGCACTGGTTGCAGCATCTCTCACTTCAGCACAGGGATCGCAGACGCAGAGCTCCGCGATACGTGGCGTCAGTTCTGAAGACGGCGCTTCCTGTCTCCGCAGCGCTTCAAGGGCGCCCATCCGAAGTCTCCAGTCTTCGCTTTGCAGCAACCGTGCAGCTCTCGGCTCGGTCTCTTCGGTGGTTTCGGCCAGCGTCCTTCGGATGAGCTGCCGAGCCTCCTCGGAGGACTCCAGCGCAGCTCGGATCTCCGGCGCGCCGGCCAACTGGGGCGCCCCCTTCTGGCTCAGAGCCGAGGCAGCGCCCAACTTCAGGCGCCAGTCGCTGCTCTCCAGCCACACCGGGGGATCCTCCCCAGGCTTTCCCACCGCCATGTCCGTGGCCTCGCTCTGGGCGATGATGCGGTTCCGCATCAGCTCGCGACCCGCCATGGTCAGCGGCCCGCTGTCGGCTTGCGCCATGCTCTCTCTCTGTCGACTCTATGGCAACTTCCACTGGTCTCCCTCTCGCATACGAGAGCTCGTGCAGCCCCCCAGCAATGTCTGAACATCAACTTGCAGGATCTCGCAACCCTCTTCATGAGTGCTCTCTGTGCACTGTGAGCACACAGCGGGTTGCAATAAGGACACACACACACACAGACACACGCGCGTAATCACAGGGGGGCATAGACATTCAAGTTGAATCTGCCCTGTAGCTTCAAGACATCTCGCGAGGTAGAGACCTGGAAGGCAACCTCGAAGGATTCGAGCTGGCCTAGCAGGGACCCAACTTTGGGATATTGCGAGGCTCCCTTATGGACTCGACTTCGAAGAAGGAGAGCCTAAGTACATCTGGCTTAAGCTGTCGTTGAAGGCGATGTTCACCTCAGAATCTCATCAACTCGTGCGAAACAACCACGGATTATCGCCATGTTCGTAAGTTAGCTGCCCCAAAGGATGTTGGTACTGGGCTGAGGGGCCGAAGTCGCAGAAGCAGCTTATTCCTGGCTCAATGTATGTTCACCTCGGCTCCCCGCAGTTGCTCAACTATAACATGGCGGCCAGACAAACATGGAAAACCATCTCCGTCGTCACCATCCTCAGCCGGAGCCAGCGCAGGAATAGTCAAAGCTTACTTTCTGACATCGTCTCAGAGCCAAGTAACCACCACCAGACCACCGTCAGCAGCAATAAACCTGATCGCTTTTGCTGCTAAATGGGTGTGCCATCCACTTTATCCAGTGCGCCCATGACAGATTCGCGACTAGCCGCTCACACAGCCAGCATGACCGTGCCGCTGTTGCTTCCACACATGTGGGTGTGCTTGTCTTAGCTATGTTGCGGCAAAGTGACGGAATACGAATTGGCTCGATTGGGACGAAATGCTCGCTGGAGGAGAAGGTCCTTGCGTTGGCGACGTGGTGATGCACGCCGCACGAATTATGACAGCATGCATCAACTGTTCGCACGAACGGTGCCCTGCTGAGTTTGTGCAGGTTTCTGGGTTCAATGCAACTCCAGGGAGAAGAGTTGACGCGGGCACTCCAAGCTCAATTCCTGTCCACACGTCTAAACCTTGCACTGCATGGAAAATATCGCAAAAATTCGAACCAGCCTCCGATGCCATGTCAGCAGCAGGTTCGTACTGCCTTTCATTCCCAACTTCCAGCACTCAGCTGAGTGCTGATTAAAGTGTGAATCGAGGCCCTTGCAAGGTGAAGGGCAAGCGAATGCTCGAGGGAGAAGCCTCTGCATGCTTTGTGACTTTCCGAGAGCTCAGGCTCAGGATTTAGGACCTACAGTGTAGGGTTTAGGGCTTAGGGTTTACATTCCTGCGCCTGGAGGTGCTCTTTGTACTCATTCAGCAACCACGGCAGTCCACCTCAAAGGCCACACAAAAGCCCGATTTTTCCCACATGCCCTGGCCAGGGAAGCCGGCCCGGCCTGATCCGGCGCCGACCTGTCAACAGAAGCGCAGTCCCTAAACCCAAAACCCCAAACATCACTAAACCCTACAACCCCAAACATCCTTAAAGCCCACAACTCTCAACATCCCTAAAGCCTACAACCCTAAACATCCCTAAATCCTACAACCCGAAACCTTAAACCCTTAAAGCCCCAAAACCCCAAGCCAAACTCGAGGCAACATGCGCCCCGCACGACGCAAAGGAGCACCTTGAGCCAGTCCTCGGGGAATTTGTGGTCCAGGCCAGGGTCGCCCCACCTGCGCAGATAGTATGTCAAGGCATATCATAGTATATTGTAGTGTATTACCGTATATTGTAGTATATTACGGTATATTGTAGGATTATTGCGGTAGATTTAAGTAGATTATGGCATATTAAAGTTAGTGCACTAAGGTCAAGGGCGCGTTTAAGGTTCAGGGGTTTCGAGGTGTATAGGGTTTAGGGTTTAGTCTTGTATCGGGTTTAGGGTGGGGGGGGGGGGTGTTTCGGATTTTGGGGATACAGCAGGTTAGGGCATTTCTAGTGTCTCTGAAGAGTCCCTAAACCCTAAACCCCTAAACCATAGATCCCTAAAGCCCTAAACCCTAAGCCCCTAAACCCCTAACCCATAAAACCCCTGAAGCCCTACACCGCTAAACTCTAAACGCCTAAATCCCTAAACCCCCTGAACCCCTAAACCCTAACTATCACCAGCCTCCTCTCCCATTGGCTGCTGAGCAGGTCACCTGCATCAAGTCACATCCCTGCATCAACCACCGTGGACCCTACTCTGGTCGAACATATGGGAGTTTCCAAAAATAGGGGACCGTGATATAGTATCCTACATAGTATGATCCTCATTTTGAGGACGCCGAAATAAAGTACCACTATGTAATTCTCGGCAGCTCCCATATGGATTGAAAAGCGCTGGTTACGGAACCAGAACCCAGCAGCAAACCAGTTCATCAACACCCATGGACGGCAATGAAGAATTCCCCTTCCGCCACACACCTTATGAAGCTTCTCACCTAAGAAAAATCCGATCTGTGAACGACTTCGGCACGAGATGCACCCGGCCTTCTTCAGCACCCGGCAGCACAAACACCGCGGTTTGCCGGTCGAGCAGCCCAAGCCTAAGACTCGTGGACGAGAGAGGGTCGTGATTGTACCAACCTTTGCTTTACACTTCTTGCTCTTACTGCAAGTAGTAGTTTTTAGAACCTTTGCTTTACACTCATTGTTGTTACCAGTAGTACATTTATTGTTGTTGGTAGCTCTTTGTAGTAGTTAGTAGTCGTCGTCGTAGTAGCTATATATAGCAAACCAGTAACCACGTAATGTCTTGGGTGCTCACTTCTTGCGCTCATCGGGCGACTTCACAAAGCGCAGGAAAGGAACCTCATGCCAGCGTGGGCTTATAGGGTTGTGCATTCCACTTCTTCACCGGCCCTTCAATACCTGGCAGAGACAACTAATACGATTTTGGGGGCTCCTTATTAGGATTACAGTATAAAGGGCCCAAAACCTTGTTCTAATTATTAAAGCCCCTAATATAGAACCTAGGGGACCCTTTTCTAGTCTAAACAGTAGGATCCTTCTTCTAAGGGCCCCCAAAGAAGGTCCCCCTAATTTTCGGAAACTGCCCCAACTGATGCATGGATCTCAGAGCCTGACCGGGCCGCTGATCAGACGCACGGTTCTGGGAAGCACGGGTGAGAGCCTCTCCAAAGGCGGGCGCAATGCCTGCGACGGCTTGAAGGAGCTTCCTCTGAGCCCCACACATCTGCGTCATTCTCTGCATGTTTGCAGGGTGAGGATTGAAAAGCCTCGGGAAAGGAAGAGGAGGACAAATGGAAATCTCAGGGACTGCGCCTGCGCTGTTCAGCGCATCGCAGCTCAGCTTCCGACGCCCCCAAGGCCGCTGGCCCTGAGTGGGAGAGCAGCCTGCGACCAGTGCTATTGCTATTGCTATTACTATTGCTGTTACTATTACTATTACACCCTCAAAAACATCAAGATTTCCCGCCCCCCCTCTCTCAGAAGCTGCGTAGTTTTATTTCATCCGCAAATCAGAGCTCACGTGTCGCGCGCATCCTCCCTCCTTTCGCTTTGCGCATAGAACCTTCAGACTCAGGACACGGAAAGACTGCCGACGCCAGGACGGCAGCTTCAAGGGTGGAAGAGCCTCGTCCGCCTATGCGGTGTCCTTCTCCGAGTACTTTCCCTTCTTCACTGCGCGGTTCTTCCTTTCCACAAAGTACGTAGCAGTAGGGATGGCTGAGCTGGGCGACAGGAGTGGGAGTTTCCGAAAGTTAGGGGTACCTCAATTTGGCGTCCTTATAATGAGGATCCTACTATTTAGGGTACTATATTAGGGTCCCCTATTTTCGGAAACTCCGATACTAACCTTTGTTTATAAAAAGGATCCTACTATTTAGGGTACTATATTTATATTAGGGTCCCCTATTTTCGGAAACCCCCAAGTCAGAGACGAAGAGAGGTCCTGTCCAGGAGCGCCTTACGGTCCTTGTCAAGCTTCAGCTTCGTGATCTCAACCTTTCTTAGGATTTAGGGTTTAGGGTTTAGGGTTAGGGGTTAGGGGTTAGGGTTTAGGGGTTGGGGTTTAGGGTTTAGGGGTTGGGGTTTAGGGTTGAGGGGTTAGGGTTTAGGGGCGGCTTGACAAGAAGAGATTCTGGAGCGAATCCAGAAATCGGGGAGACTGGGATAGGTTATGTACCGCCCCCACTACGGTAACAGTCTATGTATTAATACAATGGGGCCACTATCAGGTCCTGTTATATCTTTGTTATGAATATTATTCATCTGTTGCTGAGTGGGGGCAGTAATCAAGGGATAGGTGAGACCTCGAGCTGCACTAGATTCACTACACACTTTCACATCCCTCCCGGCTGCACCTTGGAAGGATGGATTGGGATGGGCACAGGCTGCCCATTCGCCTGCAACAAAGACTCGCCACATAAGGACTGCCAGGAAGATCCTAACCCTGAACTCTGAAAGATCCTACGAGTAACACAATACAGTAAACCCCACAAAGTTGGAAACCGGATTAAGGCCAAATAGTGCTGGGATTCCCTAGGCCCTATACATTAGTCTTAAAGATTGAAGCTATGAGGCTTCCAACTTTGGGGCTTCCACTGTAAGCCCCAAACGAGGGGTACCAGGAGCACCATGCACCGCCATGGGGGACAAGAAGCTGAGCTGGCCTTGTCTCGGGTGACCCTCTCCACATGGATACCTGGGAAAGATTCCCTAAACCCTACCTGTAGCCGAAAAGGCCGACCTTTTTGGGGTTCCTTATTATGGTTTCTGCGCAGAAGGTAGGTCTTTTCGGCTAGAGGTCAACCTTAATCCTTCCACTGCCATGAAAACTTCGCCTCTCGACACTTTTGCATGTTCTGCTTACTGGCTTAGTGCCGAGGGGGTGTCTCAATGTCAATGTTGGCCGCATCGGGCCGCCCGAAGCATTCACGGTGCCGGGCACATCGCCAATTCTAGTTCATTGACCGTTGCACCGTGCCTCAAAGAAGTCCCGAAACCCGCGCGGAAAATGCTCCGATAAGCCACATTTCTGAAACTGGAAGGCCTTTGCTTAGACGCTTCGGGTACTGTACGCGTAGTAGACAGCGCACACGACGTGGCCCTGATTCGACAGTGTCTCTCGTCTTCAATTGTCACCTGAAAGGCCTTTTCAGGCGTGCCCATATCACAGCCACGACCAAACAACAAGCATTTTTTTGGCACCGACCTTTTCATTTCACTTAATCTCGGAATCGAGAAATTCCATCTGCAGCACTTCTTGACGGCAGATGCATCGCGCAGACTTCCGACAGCACAAAGTCGCCGAAATGGGGAAAAGGTTTGCATTGCGAGGTTTCCATGTCATCACTGTCGGGCTTGACGCCGTCGTTTGTTCCCAGAATAAGTTCTCCTGCAAGACCGCTTCCTGGTATCTGAATACGCCTGTTGCCTGTTCATTGCGAAGCCATTTGAGGCTGAAGGGTTTGGGCTGTCTTGAGGAGTTCATCTGCCCTCTACTGAAAATGTGGCTGCTGCAGCAGCCGCATTGCGACGAGCTGATCCGACGACTCCGATGATGATGCGGCGGCGATGACGACGACGACGGCTGCCACAACTTTGTACCAGTGCTCAACACTACAACGGCTTTAGAAGAGCTAAGCACCCTACGACCCTACCTGAATCTTTTCGGGAAGCACTCAGGGCCCAGAATTAGAATAATGTCGTTCGATCATTGACTGCGCCTATGAGCTCTGCTGGCTGAGATGGCGCACGGAACTTCTTCCTGTACACCTGCGTCACCTTTCCTTCGCGATCGTTGTAGTGGCCCCGCCTGGGTGTTTGCCACAGACTGAACGTCTGCACGTCGGAGCGTTGCTGAGCTTTTGGCACGATCCTTACCTCATCATCCCGCCGAATGGGCACCGCACGCACCTCAGCTGAACGCCACCGAGCCCTGGTTCGGCACATTTAATCTTCAAGGACCAGGCATTGTACTTTGTCCGGAGGTCCTTGCTCAGAGGCCTCACGTTCACAAGTTTCTTCGACGTGTGCACAGACTGGTGAAGCAGTCTCTTCACACAGGTCTCAAGAAGGCTCAGGCTGCCACGCACTCATGAGCACACGGCGGATGTGCGAAGGAGCCGTGAAGTACGCCTTGCGATTCTTGCCTTTGTCGGAGGCACTTGCTGTCTACTCGTAACATCTCGTAACAACATCAGACGGATCAGACCCACCGAACCACCCCGAAGACCACTTGCCCCATCAACAGCAAAGTGGAGCAAGCGATATCCTGTGGCCGGCACGCCGGGAGCAGGTCACAGTGGCCTGGCTACACTCGCTTTGGGCATTTAGCGCGTGCAAGTAGGATCAAGTAGGATTTAGGACTCGAGTCCTGGCCTTCTGCTTCATGGCGAACGTGGAGGGGAGGCTGCGGCACTACGTGAGCAATGGCTTGCTTGAGCCCTGATTGCGTTGTGCAGAGATACACCTCCAAACCGGCTTCAAGATCACGGCAGCCTCTTGAACCGCATCATGGTGCTCACAAACTTCCAGCCTCAGATAGAGTAGGGACCGGTCCCGCAAGTCGACGTCGGACCTGCGTCTCTGCCAAGAGCCCTGCGAGGTGCAAACATCCCCCGAGGTCGCGACTGGTAGGTCGCCAGGTGCTGCAGCAACCGGAGCATCGGCTGGTAAATCACGGCCTGAACACACGCACTCCACCCTGATCCTGAGATTTGAGAAGGATGAGATCCTCCCAACTTCTAACCGTTAGAGCCGGTCCTGAGGATGCGAAAGGATGATTCGACGGCACGTAATGAGGACGCGCCTGATGCTTTGAGACTGTCGGCTTCACTGTCAAAGCAACGGATGCGGATTGCTGCTCAGCCACCTCAGGCATCTGAGGCCTTGGCACACCCGCTTCCCATGTCAGGCTGGAGGATGGGCAGAACACCAGCCGATGCAGCGCCGTCAGGACGTAGCTGGAAACACAGCCGTGGCTCAACAGATGCCGGCGAGTCCGAAGGGTGGTGTGTCTCTTGGGCATAATCTTGCAGAGGTTTCGGACCAAGCCCGAAACCACACAACCCTACGACTGCGAGACTGTGAAGACTTCCGTGGGTTGTCGCTCACAAGGCCTTTGTTGAGGTCGTTATTGAACTTTTCGACCATTATGACAACTGTTGTCGCCGCTGCTATTGCTATCGTCATGAGTACGGCTGTTACTACTTGTAATACTCGTAACTACGAGTTATAGTATTCACTATCACATGTCTCTTACTCTTTTCGATTGTTATGTGTCGCTAAACCCTAAACCCTCAGTGCTGCATCCCGGTGCCATGCCTCGGGTCCAGCCACGGCGTCTCGGAGAGAATGACGAGGAGGCCAAAGTATCTCTGGATCCTGGCGCATATCTGACAAAATATATTTTAGGGGTTTGGGGTTCAGGGTTTAGGGCTTAAGGGGGGTATATGAGAGCCATTCTACGTCGGCCCATCTCATCTTTGTCTCAGGCCTTGATGGAGGCTCGAGCCGCGAAACGAACTGGCCGAGTGAGTGCAGCAGTTTCCACTGCACAGCCTGCCCCGGGGAACAAAAGCATCTTGCACAGCTTTAGAACAAAGCTTAGCCGTGCGGGATGGAGACATCGTGTCGGCTCGAGCCATTGACTGAGGTGATGTGCGCCCCCGGCGGAATGGGCATGCACGGCATGCCTTCAGCGAGGCATCGTAGCTCCCCGCAACGTGAAGTGCGACTACTCGATGACGACCCACTGCATCCCGAGGCCAGAACGGTTTCGGTACAATCGGATTTTCCGAGATGTGGTGTGTCGCCGAAACGGCTTACATTCGGTTCTTACCCCGAACATCTCGGCTTCCTAGCTACTTTGCGATAAGGATGTGTACAGGATATCTGGACTCACTTCGGGATCTCTTAACACGCCACAGCCGGCGCATCGCCGCCTTAGAGTTGACCCTCTGGTTGAGTGCCAGAACCTCAGGTGGAGGAAGAGGGGACAGAGGGCAGCGGATGCACATGGCGTGGATCAGAGACTTTGAGGCATCTGCCGAAGGAAGCAATCGCAGGTGCGACCGCCTCGATGCACTCTACTATGCTGCACTTTACTATACCCCCATGGTGGCTTCTGCTTTTGTCGCTAAGGCCGCAACAGCATGTCGCATAAGGACTGCGGAACCTGTGCTAAGCGACTAAAAAGGCGCCGGCCCGGGCTGGGGATGAAAAGAGCTCCCCGGCCTCCAGGCGGTCCATCTCCGGTGCAAAGTCCTTACCACAATAGGGATCTATAGCAAATAATTGGTTCATGTGGTTTCCTGATTATGGTATCTTAATCTTAACTCAACTGCATGTAACCTCGATCTCTTCCGAGATGACCACGGCAGCTACCGAACACTCGCTCATGCTCACATACTTGAAGGCAAGCGGCGATCAGTACCCGCAGTAGGAAACGGAAAACTACGGCATGGGCACCCACCTCAGTGACCGTCCAGGAAGCTCCACACCCCGCGTGCGTCCGCAAAGAGCGCAAACAGCAAACAGTGGGCTTAGGGGTATCTGACACCGCAATCACATTGTCCACCACACACTTTGGCTCTGATATAGGCGCCTGAATAACTGGCATAGGGATTGGGGCCCATTATACTATGAATATAGTAAGGAACCCCCAAAATAGTAGGTAATTATTTAAGCCACTATGTTGTAGTGCCGTTATAGTAACCCTTATAGGACCCGTTTAGAGGACCCTAGTCTAGGCAATTATTTACAGCCCCTATAGTACTCGCAGGCAAGCAGCTGGCCGATAACAGTATTTGAACTCCGACAGGGACTCCAGGACGATCTCAGTCAGGAAGTCTACCAGAGCAGAAACGCAGACTCTCACAGACTGTGCTTAGGGTTTAGGGTTTAGGGCTACCTTACTGGGTAGGAACCACTAAGCCTCTGACCAAGAGATTGCTGGGCAGGTTCTGAGAGAGCTTGAAGCAGTACAGAAGCGCCTTGGCAGACTGTGAGGAACCTTCGAAGTTAGGCGAGTTCTCACAGCGGCATCGCGGCGCCAACCCCCACGGAATCCTCAACCCAAACCCTATACTCCCTAAACCCTAAACCCAAACCCTATACACCCTAAACCCTAAACCCTGAACCCTAAACCCTGAAACCCTAGACCCTAAACCCCCACCCCACCCCCGCCATCCCGAGGCGGGCACCTGCAGCTTCATTTCCTTCAGCTCCAGAGGATCCTGCAACGAGGGTCTATGTAGGCTTTAGGTTCAGATTTGGGGTTTAGGGTTTAGGGTTCAGGGTTTAGGGTTTAGGGTTCAGTGTTTCGGGTTCAGGGTTTAGGGTTCAGGGTTTAGGGTTTAGGGTTCAGTGTTTCGGGTTCAGGGTTTAGGGTTCAGGGTTTAGGGTTTAGGGTTCAGTGTTTCGGGTTCAGGGTTTAGGGTTCAGGGTTTAGGGTTTAGGGTTCAGTGTTTCGGGTTCAGGGTTTAGGGTTCAGGGTTTAGGGTTTAGGGTTCAGTGTTTCGGGTTCAGGGTTTAGGGTTCAGGGTTTAGGGTTTAGGGTTCAGTGTTTCGGGTTCAGGGTTTAGGGTTCAGGGTTTAGGGTTTAGGTTCAGAGTTTAGGGTTCAGGGTTTAGGGTTCAGGGTTTAGGGTTTAGGGTTCAGTGTTTCGGGTTCAGGGTTTAGGGTTCAGTTTAGGTTCAGAGTTTAGGGTTCAGGGTTTAGGGTTCAGGGTTTAGGGTTTAGGGTTCAGGGTTTAGGGTTTAGGGTTCAGGGTTTAGGGTTCAGGGTTTAGGGTTTAGGGTTCAGAGTTTAGGGTTCAGGGTTTAGGGTTCAGGGTTTAGGGTTCAGCTGGGCTAGAGTTCACTAGGCCAGCAGTGTAGTAGTAAAAAACCCACCCGCCCAAAGAATCCCAACACATTAGGAAAATATATCCCAACAAAAATCGTTAAACCTCACTATTTTGGCAGTGTCTCCGACTATAATGTGCCTACCAACCTTAATGGATTCGTGGACAACGCCATTTCCTACCAACCTTAATGGATTCGTGGACAAGGCCCGGCCCTTCCTACCAACCTTAATGGATTCGTGGACAAAGCCCGGCCCTTCCTACCAACTTTAATAGATTCGTGGACAAGGCCCGGCCCTTCCTACCAACCTTAAATGGATTCGTGGACAAGGCCCAGCCCTTCCTACCAACCTTAATGGATTCGTGGACAAGGCCCGGCCCTCCTACCAACCTTAATGGATTCGTGGACAAAGCCCGGCCCTTCCTACCAACCTTAATGGATTCGTGGACAAGGCCCGGCCCTTCCTACCAACCTTAATAGATTCGTGGACAAGCCCCGGCCCTTCCTACCAACCTTAATCGATTCGTGGACAAGGCCCGGGCCCAGTCCTACCAACCTTAATAGATTCGTGGACAAGGCCCGGCCCTTCCTACCAACCTTAATAGATTCGTGGACAAGGCCCGGCCCTTCCTACCAACCTTAATGGATTCGTGGACAAGGCCCGGCCCTTCCTACCAACTTTAATGGATTCGTGGACAAGGCCCGGCCCTTCCTACCAACCTTAATGGATTCGTGGACAAGGCCCGGCCCTTCCTACCAACCTTAATGGATTCGTGGACAAGGCCCGGCCCTTCCTACCAACCTTAATGGATTCGTGGACAAGGCCCAGCCCTTCCTACCAACCTTAATAGATTCGTGGACAAGGCCCGGCCCTTCCTACCAACCTTAATGGATTCGTGGACAAGGCCAGGGCCGGGCCTTGTCCACGAATCCATTAAGGTTGGTAGGACCGGGCCCGGGCCTTGTCCACGAATCCATTAAGGTTGGTAGGACTGGGCCCGGGCCTTGTCCACGAATCCATTAAGGTTTAAATTATTATATGATAAAGAGGTTTAGGGTTTAGGGTTCAGTGTTTCGGGTTCAGGGTTTAGGGTTCAGGGTTTAGGGTTTAGGTTCAGAGTTTAGGGTTCAGGGTTTAGGGTTCAGGGTTTAGGGTTTAGGGTTCAGTGTTTCGGGTTCAGGGTTTAGGGTTCAGTTTAGGTTCAGAGTTTAGGGTTCAGGGTTTAGGGTTCAGGGTTTAGGGTTTAGGGTTCAGGGTTTAGGGTTTAGGGTTCAGTGTTTAGGGTTCAGGGTTTAGGGTTCAGGGTTTAGGGTTTAGGTTCAGAGTTTAGGGTTCAGGGTTTAGGGTTCAGGGTTTAGGGTTTAGGGTTCAGAGTTTAGGGTTCAGGGTTTAGGGTTCAGGGTTTAGGGTTTAGGGTTCAGGGTTTCGGGTTCAGGGTTTAGGGTTCAGGGTTTAGGGTTTAGGTTCAGAGTTTAGGGTTCAGGGTTTAGGGTTCAGGGTTTAGGGTTTAGGGTTCAGTGTTTCGGGTTCAGGGTTTAGGGTTCAGGGTTTAGGGTTTAGGTTCAGAGTTTAGGGTTCAGGGTTTAGGGTTCAGGGTTTACGATTAGCTGGGCTAAGAAATCACTAGGCCAGCAGTGTAGTAGTAAAAAACCCACCCGCCCAAAGAATCCCAAAACATTAGGAAAATATATCCCAACAAAAATCGTTAAACCTCACTAATTTTGGCAGTGTCTCCGACTATAATGTGCCTACCAACCTTAATGGATTCGTGGACAACGCCATTTCCTACCAACCTTAATGGATTCGTGGACAAGGCCCGGCCCTTCCTACCAACCTTAATGGATTCGTGGACAAGGCCCGGGCCCAGTCCTACCATCCTTAACAGATTCGTGGACAAGGCCCGGCCCTTCCTACCAACCTTAAATAGATTCGTGGACAAGGCCCAGCCCTTCCTACCAACCTTAATGGATTCGTGGACAAGGTCCGGCCCTTCCTACCAACCTTAATGGATTCGTGGACAAGGTCCGGCACTTCCTACCAACCTTAATAGATTCGTGGACAAGGCCCGGCCCTTCCCACCAACCTTAATCGATTCGTGGACAAGGCCCGGGCCCAGTCTTACCATCCTTAACAGATTCGTGGACAAGGCCCGGCCCTTCCTACCAACCTTAATCGATTCGTGGACAAGGCCCGGCCCTTCCTACCAACCTTAATGGATTGGTGGACAAGGCCCGGCCCTTCCTACCAACCATAATAGATTCGTGGACAAGGTCCGGCCCTTCCTACCAACCTTAATGGATTCGTGGACAAGGCCCGGCCCTTCCTACCAACCTTAATAGATTCGTGGACAAGGCCCGGCCCTTCCTACCAACCTTAATGGATTCGTGGACAAGGCCAGGGCCGGGCCTTGTCCACGAATCCATTAAGGTTGGTAGGACCGGGCCCGGGCCTTGTCCACGAATCCATTAAGGTTGGTAGGACTGGGCCCGGGCCTTGTCCACGAATCCATTAAGGTTTAAATTATTATATGATAAAGAGGTTTAGGGTTTAGGGTTCAGTGTTTCGGGTTCAGGGTTTAGGGTTCAGGGTTTAGGGTTTAGGTTCAGAGTTTAGGGTTCAGGGTTTAGGGTTCAGGGTTTAGGGTTTAGGGTTCAGAGTTTAGGGTTCAGGGTTTAGGGTTCAGGGTTTAGGGTTTAGGGTTCAGGGTTTCGGGTTCAGGGTTTAGGGTTCAGGGTTTAGGGTTTAGGTTCAGAGTTTAGGGTTCAGGGTTTAGGGTTCAGGGTTTAGGGTTTAGGGTTCAGTGTTTCGGGTTCAGGGTTTAGGGTTCAGGGTTTAGGGTTTAGGTTCAGAGTTTAGGGTTCAGGGTTTAGGGTTCAGGGTTTAGGGTTTAGGGTTCAGTGTTTAGGGTTCAGGGTTTAGGGTTCAGGGTTTAGGGTTTAGGTTCAGAGTTTAGGGTTCAGGGTTTAGGGTTTAGGTTCAGGGTTTAAGGTTTAGGGTTTAGGGTTCAGAGTTTAGGGTTTAGGTTCAGAGTTTAGGGTTCAGAGTTTAGGGTTTAGGTTCATGGTAAGCCTGGTAAGCCGCCCTGACCATCCCCAACCCCACCCACTCTTGCAGGCAAACTTGGCACTTGGGGCCCAGCGTGCCAGCGAGGGCAGAGCTCTTGCACCCGCTCCTGGGCTTCACAGTCGCGGCATACCATGGTTTCTACATAAGGGTGGTTGTCAAAATTAGGATCCCTTTTTGGCTCTTTAGTATAATACGGCACTTATTGTTAAGGGTACCCAAAAAGAGACCATGATCTTGACAACCACCCATAAAGAAAGAATAACAAGGCCCGAGAACCCTGAAACCTATAACAGGGCTATAAAGGAGCCCTTGTAGATAAGGGAGCCATGGTGTTCAACAGCCCTTGTAATACCATTATCGAACCCTTCCCAGATTCCTTCATAAGAGAATACCCTCCAACTGCGGAGGCCCTAAACCCTAAACCCTAAATCCTAAACCCTAAACCCTCCCAGAACCTTGGGTTTCAGGGTTGAGGGTGTAACGAGCCCCTTCATGAACAAAACCCTAAACCCAAAATCCTAAACCCTAAACCCTAAATCCTAAACTCTAAACCCTCCCAGGACCTTTCATAATAGGGTACACCCAGGCAGAGGCTCCCAGAGCAAGTTGAAGGAGACCTTCGAAGAGCTGGAAAGGGCGATGAGCCAGCTCACGGACAGCAAGCGAAAGCATGGCCTCAGCTGTAGGGTTTAGTGCTTAGGGTTGAGTTTTAAGGTTTCGGGTTTGGGGTGTTTAGTTTTAGGGTTTAGGGTCTGGGGGTGAGTTTTAGGGTTTGGGGTTTATGCCTGGATTTTAGGGTTTATGGGTTTAGGATGGTTTAGGGTTTAGGGTCTAGCTTCAGGGTTTAGGGTTTGGGCCTCAGTTTTAGGGTTTAGGGTATAAGGTTTATGGGTTTAGGATGGTTTTGGGTTTGAGGTTTAGAGGCGTAGGTTTAGGGGCTCTGCTTCTCTGATAGACCTTTTTTGAACAAGGACCCCTGTTCTTATTACGGCCTTAGGGGGTGGCTGATAGAAAGACTGACAAAGGGCATGTCTAGTGTAGCCGACAGGTTTTAGAAAGAGCACCAAGTTCATGAGACATCTACAATCACATCTCTATCTGTGCACCTATCCATCTATCTATCCATGCATCTATCTATCCATCTATCTGTGGGATCTCTAGAATACCCCATGGGTGGTTATCAAAATTATGGTTCCTTTTTGGGTACCCTAAGTATTAGGTACCATAATTTTGACAACCACCCCTATATGGGAGCTTCCGAAAATAGGGGACCCAATATAGCACCCTAAATTAATAGGATCCTTATTATAAGGACCCCAAAATAAGGTATCCCTAATTTTCGGAAACTCCCAAACCCTAAACCCTAAATCCTATAGATCCCTTAGAGCAACCCTAGAAGGAACCCTCATAGATCCCTTTAAAGGAGCCCCTAATTTTCGGAAAGTCCCATATACGAAAAAGCGAGCACTGAGAGCATCGCTCCATGGCCCCATCCTGGACCAGAGCGAAGAGCCGATGAACCACGGCCTCAGCCACGGTGTTGGAGCCCAGCTCCTCCAAGGCTCCCTTTTTGAAGGTTGGGCTTTTGGGTGATAGGGGTCTTTGTGACTTTAGAAGGGTTAATTAGGGGTTGTTGGGTGATAGGGGTCTTTATGACTGTAGAAGGGTTAATTAGGGGTTTTTGGGTGATAGGGGTCTTTATGGGTGCTTCGGGTTTAGGGCTTGTTGTGGCTTTAGGGTTTTCGAGGCCTAAGGGCACCAAAAATTGAAAGAGGGTCCGAGGTCGCTCCTTCGCTGTGAAGAGCGCGTTCACCACCATGAAGGCGTGCAACCTGGGCTGCGCTGGGAGCCCTTTCGAACTACAACTGCTTCGCTTGTGCTGTCTCAGTTCTCCTGATTATCATGTAGTATAGTAAGACTGCTCCTGAATAATATGTAGTATAGTAAGAATACTCCTGAATAATATATGTAGTATAGTAAGAATGAGAGATCCTCTTCAAAGCAAAACCGAGCAGCAGGGAGGGCCGCGAGGCATGCAGCAAGGGCGAGAAGTGATGGAAGACCACGCGCTGCGGCAGCGCCAGGACTTTCACGAAGAGGCTCAGGCGCTCGGCGATGAAGATCTTGGTCCAGGACGAGGACGTGGGCATGGCCTCCAGAACTAAGCCGATGCTTCGTGTCATGGTCCTCACCAGTTTCCGTGGCAAGCGAGGAGGTGTCTGATCCGTTGCGAGGTCAAAGGCGAACTCCGGGCCTGCGTGGCAGTTTTTGGGGATGTGGAAGCGGAACATGGCATCCTTGGAGTCGCCTTTCGCTTGGGGCAGCGGCCACTGGCTCTGGCCGGTGCTATCGTCCTCGCCACGCGGAGTGAGGGGCGGCGTGCTGGGCCTAGAGCCCGCGAGAGGCGTCGTGAGGCCGGACTGCGTCAGAGAGAGCTCCGTTAGATCCTCTCGCCGTTCCTCTGGTTGATGCTTTAGAGCCTCCTGCACCAACTGCTCTGTAAAATGCTGGATCGTCGTGAAAAAGAGCCGCGCATAGCTCTCCTGTATGTGCAGCAGCTCGTCGTTGGCGAATTTGGCGAGCGTGTTGATGCCGACGGAGGAGCCCTGTTGCTCTGTGGCAGTCATTCCACCCGCCCAGATTGGAGGCACCGTCCAGTCCTCTCCGAGCAGCGGAAACCTGCGCTCTTGCTAAGGTCTATTAAGTCTATTATATACTAGATACTTATGTGATATACTGTACAACACAGCCTAGGTTTCACTACCATACATTACCACTAGTTGGAATCATAGTGTCATTCCCTTCATATGCCAAACTACAGTAACTTCGCAAAACCTTAACAAGAATCCATACTTCGGGAAGCAACTTATGTACCACATGTCCGAGTTTATGCTGACTTCCATCATCCTTCGAAAAATGTTGTTTTAATATGTTAATCGCATAGAAGGACACAAATGGAAGCCGCCCCCCCAAAAAACAGCCCTAAACCCTGAAGCACCAAAACCGTAAACAGATCCAGAAACAGAACACTAAAAGTCACTAAAACTCTCTAAAGACCAAGAGACAGAACACTGAAGCCCTTTCAAAGGACCCAGAAACAGAACACCGAAGCCCTTTCAAAGACTCCGAAGGACCTAAACCCTAAACCGACCCAGAAACAGAAGCCCTGGATGCCAGCTCTCCAGTTCGTGCAAGCACTCGCAGGCATAGGCTCGAAGGATTCGATCCGCTGACTTGTTCGTGTGCTTTACCTGGGCTAAGAGGGATTAGGGCTTAGGGTCTAAGAGGGTTTAGGGTTTAGGAGGGTTTTGGAGGTATAAGGCTTTACGGTGTAGGGCCGGTGTAGGGTTTAGGGGGCGACCTTTGATTCTGAGTGCTCCTCGTCCGATCCTTCTGCTTAGGGTTTGGAGGAGATGTCAAAACTCAATGATTTTTTAGGGTTGGGGCTGAGCTTGTAGAGCTTGTTTTTTGGCTCACCTGGGTTCAACTGGCTCCCAGGACGAACGATTCCTTGTCAGGGTAGCGGCTTAGGTATTGTAGGGCTTCGGATTAAGGGTACGTAGGCTGTTTTACCTTCTCTGTCCCTGTTACTAGTGTAACAAGGAAGGAAACATTCCGTCTTTCTTTAGGATACAACTCCGAGCCTTGACCAAGCTACCATTGAATATAACAGATCCACGAAGCCTTCGAAACGAGCAACGTCCGTCTCGAAGGTGTTGAACTGTATCAAGAGTGCTGTATACGTGACCAGAACTTGCGACTTCAATGAGTACGTCATGCCCTGACCATCAACGGGCGAGCCCAGAATGTTCTCGAGCACGAAGTATACTTTGTGAAGCCGCGAATAGTCGAAGACCAAGCTCTTGCCGTGCTCTTCTAAGAAAACGAGCGCCGACGTCCTTTCAACTTCATCTTTCTCAGTCAGAATAGTTAGCAGAAGTATGTCGAGAAGCTGGAACTCTGACATTGTCTCCGACGGACTTCTGCCGTTAACGACATACTTGAGTGCCTTTTCGCTTGACTCATCGTTCCAACTGAAGGCATATCGGAGCATTTCATAAGTCCAGTCAGACATGGCTCTGGTCTGCACCACTTCCCGTTATCCCGAACTGGGCAGCCACGCGATATCTGCCAGGCCTGTGCCATGCGCTCAAGCACAATAGGACGAAGCAGCCCTCTGCATCAATGACAGTCAAGAATACCCACCTACGGCCTAGGTACATGTACTGTCAATCAGAGGACGTCTCTGCTTCACCGAGGAGGCTCCTTCTTCCGTACTTTCCTATGTCGCCAGAACATCAACACACCTGGCTTACGTAAACAGATGATTGAATGCCTAGACTCGGCAAGTGCCGGTGTGACTAAAGCTTCGATCCTGAAAGGCTGTGTGCGACGGGCATATGATGCGCGTCTGTGGGACAATCTTAATTCACGCTGTGTGGGGACTGGCACAGGTACCTGGCAAGAGGACAAGATGCAATGGAAGCCTCAATCCCTAAACCCTGAACCCTAATGCCTACACCCTAAACCCTAAACCCCTAAACCCTAATTCCTAAACCCTAATTATAAACGCTAAAGCCCGAATCCCTAATTCCCAAACCCCTAACTAAAATAGTTTGCCTTGCCCTGTCAGGGACAAGAACAGGCCAAGATGAAATTCAAGGCGCCACTCGCTCTGAATCATAAGAACCCTTAGAGGGGTAGGGGGGAGAGGGGTAGGGGACTATACTTCCTTTGCATAGGCCATTTTAGGTAGTTTTTATGGGCATTACGGCCCCCTACCCCCCTTCCCCTACCCCCTAAGGGTCCTTATGGCTTCATTTTTGGCCGCGCAGTCTTTGTAGAGAGCGCGCAAGGCCACCGGTAAGTCTGCTACAAGCCTGCACTTTGTGGGGATCACCCCAAGCATATCAGCGACTTTAGAGGGTGTGCAGCGGAGGGCAACTTGTGATAGCTCTGTCCACCGGGTAGATCTGCCGATAGTGTACGAACACATACGAGAGAATGACAAGATGTGTCCCATCTTCTGGCCATCACAAACTAGCAGCGAGAGGTCACGGCTCAGGATTGGACGGCCAGCCTCCGAAAGGCATATTGAAAGCAGGACTCCATCACCCAACGCTAAAGCGCACATGACAACCCGGCCATGAAAATTGAAAGGATCAATGACGATGGAACAAGCCACCTATTGCGCATTGGCCAAGCCTAAACCTTCCAGAAATCTTTCTTGCAGCCGACAAATTAAACACAAGCGGCGGCAGCAAAGATCCCACTGCAAAGTCCCACCGGGCCTTATCAGATGTTCCATGAAAACCTTCAGGGACACATCGTCCGTGATGACGACCTCGAGTTGATACCGGACTGGGCATCGTACTTTGCACTAACTTCAGCTACCAGGGTCCAAACAGAGGAGTCGGACCCGCCGCCCCAGCCCGGTCCAGAGTTGTGCGTCTGGGAAGGATTCACCTGCAGAGCCCAGAAGACACGCGAGCTGCAGGTCCGTCGTCATGCATCGCAACCACATCACAACAAGTGGCTCTTTGAATTTTGCAAGCCCTAAACCCTAAACCCGAAGTCCTTGAACCCTTAGGACCCCTGTTTCGGCACTTATGGCTGAGGGAGTAAGTCCCAAAACCCAAGAGGAGCCCCAAAGGAGCTGGCCTTCGAGGTGAGGAAGCGTGCTTGCGAGCCGCCTGCGTTGGTCTGAATGAACTTCGGCACCTCAGAGACCAAACCACTCAGCAAGCCACGAACTCCCCGCTTCTGCTGCGGTTGCTCGTAAGCAGCATGCAGGGAAGCGATCCGCTAGGATGTGCTTCGCATCTTCTGCTGGCGCCGTCAACAACGCCTGCAAAAGAAAGGTCTCGGAAAAATTACATGCATAGTGCATGAGGCACACCAAGACGTCGCCTTGAAGTTTGCGTACTCCTCCTTCTCCTGCACCAGGAACGAGACCAGTAGTGCAGTGCGTCAGAATTTGAGACTCCAACCTGGTATCCTGCATCATACCAGGCTTGAATCATCTCGCCTGCGAGCACATGCTTCTTGCAGGAAATTCGGCCGGGCTATGTTGGCACAGCATCCGCCGCATGTTTGATATCTCGGACGAAATCTGGTGAGCGGAATGTTTAACACAGCCACGAGGTGCTGGACAGCTGCATTCGGCGTTTGACCCGTGTCACAGCTCGACTTTGTGCATTTCAAGCCATTTGATTGCTTTCCTTCACCGATATGCCTTCCATCAATAGCCATCCTAAACCTAAACGCCAAATCTTGAATTTGCTCCTGCACGGCTGATCACTGTCTTGTCAACATGCTGTCTCTCTCTGCGAGAGACGTCGTCGGCTTCTGCAACCCGCTCTCCAACAGGCACATCACAGCTCCTCTTCATCGGACATCAAATGCCCTGTGGCTTAGCATCACATTCTTCAGTGTTTTGCCTAAACAATAAACTCTGTAAACCTCAAACCCTGAACCGGTTCTTTTCGGAACGACCTCTAGCAACGAAGCCAATTTAATGCTAGGCAGGGGTAAATGTGTTCTCTCTTCCGTCGGGTTGGGGTTTAGGCTCAACCATTAGGGTTTCAGGTGAAGGGTTGAAGGCTCATCAGCAGACTCCATGGTTTGCAGCAGGGATGTTCAGGGTTTCGGACTTAGGGTTAAGGCAGGGGCTTCTTGAGGCTAGTAGGGTCACCTAACGCTCTTCCGACCTCGCCATGCACACGGAATGCATTCGAAAGCCTCGCCAAATCACGACGTGGAAGAAAGCGTCCAGCAAGAGGATCACGTTCGGCCTGAGCAGAGGCACTTGAAGCCCTCCCAAGATGCAGTAAAATCCTGCCCCAAAGCCCTTATCCCAAAACCATTGAAGTTCCAGACTTCTGCAACTGCTCGTCTTTTTGCTGCCTCGCTGGCCACGACAGTTGAATCCCAAGCTTCGCTGCCTGGATTTCCCCGAGGGCATCCTGGACCCCAATAGTAAGCCATAGAGTAAGCCTAGTAGTATCGCTCATAGTAGCCCATGTAGTAATCCCCTTACACAAATCCCTGTGAGATGGCGGAGGCACTCAGCTCTGGCCAGATTGGGCAACGTTGGCCTTGGTCGTAGATTCGCAGTGTCCGCAGACTTCGCAAGAGGCACTTCCCACAAAGAGAAAGCGACAAAAAGAGCAAGGACGGTCGATGTCCGGTTTTGATCATCGAGAAGAACAGACTTACTGCGAGTAGAAAGTTCAACAGACGTCCGAGGCACCCTTGCTTCTCTCACTTTTTCTTCTCCAGTTGGCCCGTTCTGGCGGCCACCACCCATTCGGTGAGCCAGTTGAGGTCGTCTGGGTTCTCCCTGACGGTTGAGGCTTTACGTTTTATGTTGAGGGTTGAGGTTTTTTTTAGGGTTTAGGGTTTTGAGGCCTTAAATAGGGGGATTCGGACGAATACCTCGTCACCTTGAGCTTATCTACGGCTCTCCGAATCTATGATGTACCGGTTCTCCCTAAACCCAAAGGCCCTTGTAACGCAGGCCTCCGAGCTTTCTCCCAGTCTCCGGTGCGGGCTTTTCCTGGGCTCTTGTTAAGGAACTTAAGTTAAGTTACGATAACAAGGAAACCCTACTGTTTACTATAGATCACTCTTCTGGTAGCTTTAAAATTTAATCCCGAAACCATGAAAGGAACCCGTGCAGATCCCTTAACGTAAAGTCCTTAACAAGAGCCCAGGTTCCATCCAGGCACATGTAGGTACCGTCGGGAAGGAGGCCCTGATCGTCTAAGTAAGGAGAAGACCTCATCGCTGTGCCCCCAGATTTACGGCTTGTAGGAATGTTTAGGATTTAGGTGTATAACTTGAGGTTTAGGGACATTTTAGGGTTTAGGTTCATGACCGAGGGTCTACCGATGTCTAAAGTTAAGGGGCAAGTGGCATCTAGCAAGCAGCGTTCAGCACGGCACAACGTCTCTGCTTGCAGGATCAACTTCTAGCAGTACTTTGAATTCAAGTCGCGAGGAGCCGTCTTCTTCCTCTGATGCATCCTGGACAAGTTGCGGCTCGGGAACTGCAATAACAATAACAGTAAGAAGAAATATAATGATAGCAATAAACGTAATAATCGTAATGAGAGTAATAATAGTACAAACGAGTATAATCATAGCAGCAACTTTCGTTTTAAACCAATCGGATCCATGTCAGACAGGCAGTCGTCCGCGGCGACTGGTGCTGCCAAGCAGCTGCATCGTGCGCTTGCAGGCGCTCTATGAGAACGGCCTGCGAGCAAAACTGGGCTCTTGTTAAGGAACTTGATTTAAGTTACCATAATAGGATCTATAAGGGTTCCTTTAAGGGATCTACAAGGGTTCCTTTAAGGGATCTATAAGGGTTTAAGGTTTAAGTTACCATAAACAGAGATATATAGTGAAAAAATGGTTTCCTTGTTATGGTAACTTACATTGACTCCCTTAACAAGAACCTAGACAAGCGCCCAGGCGGTCGTTCCCGGAATCGCCCTAAACCCTTACACCGGAGCAATACATATACATATACATATATATATATATATAGATATGTCAACCTATGGCGATGTATACGTGTATGTACTAGGCATTCACGAACACACTCTCATATGTACTCACATGGACTCATAAGTACTATTGTACATCCACACGCACATATGCACATGTATAATCATGTGTATATTTATATACAGGTGTGTGTGTGTGTGTGTGTGTGCGTGTGCGTGTAAACATTAATACTACTAGTGGAAACACTCATACCTACTAGTGCGCATGCATGCATACATACATACATATATATATATGTGTGTTATGTGTAAGTGACAATAATAATACCTTTTTCTCATACATGTATAAATATACATACGCCTGCATACAGCCATCAATCCATACGTACACCGGTCCCTGCCTGCATGCATGCATGTGTACATACATACATACATACATGGGTATTTACGTAGTTGCATACATACATACATGCACAAGTACATCCAGACAGACAGACAGACAAGACAGACAGCCGGCCAGGCAGCCAGCGAGGCAGACTCTCAGACAAACGCCTGCATACATA